ATATATATATATATTTCTTTTTTAAAAGCAAACTATAACAGTAATTTTTAATTCTTATTCTATCTTATTTTAATTTTTAAGAAGTATCTTTGTCACTCAAGAGATGACTCTAATGATCAATTCCTATTCTATCTCTATTCTTCTTTTATTATTGTATTTTTCTTTTATTTATTAGTTTTACTTTAGAGATGGCGTTGATTTTTACTTTACCTATCCTTCTCTTATTATATTCTCTTTGTCTATAACTATTTTATAGAAATTCAGAAATAGCTTCAATTTTTAAAGCTTTTTTAATTTTCCCCGCGTAATTTTTTTTAGCTATTTACCATGAAATATGAAACAAGTTTATATAGTTATATAAACTTATGGATTAAGAGAAAAAATTTCAAATTTCCCACATAATTCTTTTTTTCGGATCGGTTAATCCAAATTTCATCTAATGAATACATCATCTTATATTCATTATATTTCTGCTTCTTTTCATTGCATGCTACTTAAATTTTTTACCTATGTGTAAATATACTCAAGGGTTAGAAAGACTCAACACGTGTTTGTATTTAGATTTTTATTGTAGGATTTTATTATACATTTTTATTTTAATAAATGATATATTTGAAACTTTTAAATAATAAATAATATAAACTTAATAAGTAATATAATTAACAAAAATTTATATCTAATGCATTTTACAATTTATAAATAATGAGGTTAAGTAAAAAATATAATAATAAAAAGTAATTTATAACAATTTTAAAGAAACTTATTAATTATATCATTTAGATTTAACAATTAAATAATTGTTTTTGTTTCCAAGATTAATTAATTAACAAACTATTCATTATAATTAATTTTTAAATTATTAAATAGTTTTTTTTGTTTTGTGATGTTCCAAAATACTGTTGTGTACTGTTTTAAGTGCATCATTAGAAATATTCACAAAACTGAATTAAAAACTATACATGAAACAAATAAATTTTTGGCAATGCAAAAAATGAAACGGTTGAAGAAATCTTATACACATTTTAGTGCAAAATTAAAGGTATTTAAAATATTTATAGATGAAATGAATTAATTCTATATTAAAGTTTATGATAACAATTTTATTGAAGTTTAATATTTGAAAACAGGTACTTGGCAGTGGAGCACTTGGAACTCCAGAAAATATATTTTTTATATCTGATCATATTAATTATATATTTAATTGTGGAGAAGGTACTCAACGTTTAAGTCAAGAACATCATTGTAAATTATCCAAAACTTATAATATTTTTGTGACATATTCTTCTTGGAAAAATGTTGGAGGTATTCCAGGTTTACTTTTAACGGCACAATCAAGTGGTCTAACAGAAATAAATATTCATTGTCCAGAAGGATTTAGTAGTTTTATACAAACAATTCAATCATTTATATCCTTACCAAATCTAAAAATTTCTTATCCTGTAATCAATGAATCTGAAGTATATAAAGATAATGTAATGAATATTTCATATGTTCCTATAACAAAATCTTCCAAAAATACTAAAGAAAGTTCTTTAAATTTAACTGATAAAGAACAATGTCATACAAATATAAATGGTAAAAGAGTTATTAATGAAAAAACACAAGAAGAAGAAATAAAAACAGAAAAAAAAGTAAAAAGTATTCCACATTTATTATGCTTTATTTGTGACGTTCATCCAAAACGTGGAAAATTGTTAATACAGAAATGTATAGATTTTGGGGTATCACCTGGACCAAATTTTGATTTATTAAAACGAGGATTGGATATTACTAAAGAAGATGGAACAATTGTTCATAGCAAAGATGTAGTAGAAGCAAATACACCTAAAACCACTTTTATAGGTAATTCTAAAAATATTTAAATCTATAAACAATTTTAATAATACTAACGAGTATTAAATTATTAGCCTATAATTCTGTAACTATTTTTTTAATTTATTATTTTACTTTTATTAATTTATTTATTAATTTATAATATTCAAAAATAATTAAAAATATCCTATTTAAAAAATGAAGGTAATTTTGAATTACAATTAAAAAAATATCAAATTATCTTTTCTATTATTAAAAATTCAATTAATATTAAAAATTTTCTTCAGTTTTAGAATGTCCAACAGAAGAATATTTGGATTCCATTGTAAATCACCCTACTTTTTTAAAATATCAACAGACAGAATCAATAAAAAAGGAAGATGAAGTTTTTTGCATATTTCATTTCACTCCTGAAAAAATTTTCACAAGTCAACAATATCAAGATTGGATAAAAAAGTTTTCCTCAAAAACAGAACATATAATTTTAAATGATGAAAATACTTGTATGGGCAGTGAAGCTGTTTATAAGAACCAATGTTTATTAAATATGTTGCATCCTGAAATATTTCCTTTATTAAATAAAGATTGTTTTGAAAAAGATAAAGAGGTAAAATGTTTTAAATTAAATAATAATAAATATATTTAATAAAATGATATAATATTAGTAAAAGAAATAATATTAATAAAATAATATTCATTTCTTTAATATAAAAATTGATATATTAAAAAAAATTTAAAAATGAATAATTAGAAAATTCTATATTTCAGACTAAAAGTAATAACTTTCATCGTGCTAGAACAGCACAAATATTAAATATACGGCCAAATTTAACTACTTTAATTAATAATGAAATTTATAAGAAATCAGAAAAGTATATTGATGAAGTTTTAAAAATTCCTAAATTTACAGATGTTTTAAAGGAATTAAAAGTAATTATTAATGAAAAATCATCAGAACTTAATTTAAATAATATTTCTGACTATCCACGAATTATAATGTTAGGTACTGGTTGTAGTGTACCAAATAAAATTAGAAATACAAGCAGTATTCTTTTACGAGTTAATAAAGATAGTAGCATTTTATTGGATTGTGGAGAAGGTACTCTTGGTCAAATTATTAGATATTATGGGGTTTCAGAAGGTCTTAATATTTTACGTACTATTAAGGTATGTCACTTACATTTCAAAATTAATAAAATTAATAAAATTATTTTTGACTTTAGAATATTGATATTCATATTTTAATTGATGTCTACAATTTTTTATTTTAATAATAAAATACTAATCTTTTTTTTAGGCTATTTATATATCACATATACATGCAGATCACCATTTAGGATTAATTGGTTTATTATTACAAAGAAAAAAGATCACAAATCAAAAATTATATTTACTATCACCGAAATGTATGATGCCATGGCTAAATTTTTTCAATGATCGATTTGAATCTATTGCCCATCAATACATTTTAATGGATAATAGTAATGTATATCTAAATTATCATATGTTATCTATATCTTTTGAATTTGAACTGTATAATAAGTTAGATATTAAAGAAATAAATACAATTCATGTTCCACATTGTAAACAATCATTTGGTATTGCTATTACTCTCAAAGATAATAAAAAAATTGTTTATAGGTAAGATAAGTAAAATGTATAACTTAAAAATTAATTAGTTTTATATGTTAACAATTCATAATCCAAAGTGTATTTATTTCAGTGGTGATACTATATTTTGTCGAAATCTTATAACTTTAGGACAAAATTGTGATTTATTAATTCATGAAGCAACTATGGAAGATGGTCTTGAAAAATTAGCTAAAAGTAAATTACATTCAACTACTTCTCAAGCAATAGATGCTGGAAAATTTATGAATGCAAAGTTTATATTATTAACGCATTTCAGTCAACGTTATTCAAAGATTCCTTCTATTCCGGAAAAAGAAACAAATGTTGGACTAGCTTATGATTTCATGGAGTTTAAATTACCGCAATTACCATTGTTACCTCTCTTCTATCCTTGTATAAAAATAATGTTTAATGAATATAATAAAGTAATGAATTAAATACTCGCAATATATTATTAATTATTATACTTAAAAATATTTAAAAAATTATATGAAAAATTATGTTATATAAAATAAATTATCTTTTTTCGGATTATCTTTTATGAAATTAGAAAAATCAATTAATAGTTTTGGCTTAAAAATGAATAATAGAATTAAAAGGCTATGATTCTGGAAAATGGTAGTATAAGAAAAATTTTAATAAACAAATGTTTAATAGCAGAATTTATTGCTTACATAATGCATTTAGATTATCCCGCTTTCCTCAATATGATAAATAACATAAACTACAGATAGTTTTGCCGAAGTAACGACCTTAATATTAATTTTGTTTGTATATGAAAAATAGAGAGCAGATAAAAAAAAGTATCATATAAAAGATAAAAGCATATCGAAAAATAATTATTCTCTTTTTGTCGAATCAAAATATCAATATATTTGAAAAATATTGAAATTCGACAAAAAAAGAAAAATATTACTTATAAGCTAATCGATAAATTACACGCCCACAAAATTAGTACTAATCCATATATAAAACTTACGGTTTTAATATTTTCTAAGCGGGTTGTGACATAAAATTCTTTCATAGAAATAGCTGTAAAAATGTTTCGACCATTGCACAGCTCACGGAATGTGAATTTCTTATGTAGAAAAAGCGTGATCCCAAATTATACAGATTAATTCGATTATTGCATCGATTTTTTTAAAGATACACTAGATAGCAAGTTTATAATGATATGATATATTTGTGCATGACATGTTTATTCTATAATAGTGTATAATCGAATAATATAAAAGAAAATATATTTATCATATGGAACGATTATTTTAATTAACTGAAATACTATGCGTATTACTTATTAAAAAATTTCGAAATATGCTGTCTAGTGTATTAATTGCTTTACAACAATTCAATATTAATTGGTATCGATATTAATACATTGATACAAAGACTAGAAAGTAGAATTTTTTTGAACACTTAAACGATCGGTTAAGTTCTTTGTTATTTTTTATTTTATTTTATTTTTATAAGATAAATTATCAACAAAATATTTCTATTATTAATTAAATATAATTATTAAGATTTAAGTAGAGATAAGATGAAAAACTATAAAATGTCAAATTGTAAACATATTTACAATATTATAAAAGAGTATTAGATAGTTATTATAAATTGCTTGATGATTAAAAAATTAGAAAAGTTTTATTAATAAATATAATGTTCTTATGTAAAATTACCGATCAGTTAAGTATCAAATATTGAAAAATAAATATTTCAAATAATATATTAAATTAAAGAGAGTATAATTCAACAAATATTCAATTATTCTATAAAAAAACAGTGAAAAATATTTTTTTTTTTAAATTATTAGAATACGATGTAATAACCGCTAATTATTCTGTAAATATGCGAATGATCAGTCTTATTCGGTATTTTATGAATAGAAAAGTCGTAGTTAGAAGTATAAAAGAATCGTAAAAAATTAATTCGACGATGTACTTCTAATTAAGTACTCGGTAGGAGCTTTTTCCGTACTTGTAAATATCATATTAGATTACATTCGAAGCTATAAAAAGGGCAAAATTTTAGCTATGTTCTTTTAAAAATTTAATCTAAAATTTATGTATTTTCTTTTTTTTCATTTTTGATACTTAGAATATAACCAAAAAATATGAATTGTTAAATTCTTCGATGAATCATTCAAATTAAATGCGTTTTTTCCAGATCCTTTTTAACTAAAACTTTGAATATTTATATCTATTACATGTAACTTTTTTTTAAATATAAAAAGTGAATTGCTTGAATAAAGTTTTAAATGAACATAGCATAGACATGATTATTTAATCAATTAAAATTCCCACTTTGTAGCAGATTCATAATCCGTTTCTCCAAGACGCAATGCTCCATTTTTTCCTGCAGTTAGATATCTTCCGTCAGTATGCTTAATACAAATACGAGATGGTTCTCGTAATTCTAAATAAAAACCATCAGAAGATATATCGGAATCTACAGTTACTCCTTCGCTATCTGCATGCCAATATTTACCATTTTGACCTGAAATATAAAATAAATTCAATAGAAAAAAATAATTCAGTTTTTTTAAATTCTAATTAAAATTTAAAATATACTTAAAATATTAAACTATTACTAAAATATCCAAATGTATAGTATTATAATTTTTAATTTCTATATATTATTCAAATAATTTTTTACCCTTAAATCTAACAATTCCACGATCACATCTTTCAACTCTGATAGTTTCGTAAATAGCTTTGTTGCATTCTAATTTTGAACTGGCTGAACTTTTAGGTCCTACAAATCCTTGTTCACAACGTAATACTAAGACAGGTCTATTCATCAATAAAAATAATATTTGCTAGCATCTGAATCCAATCCATTTACAGATTCTGCATTAGCATAAAGATGACCAGAACGCTTTGTTGCTAAAAATTTGCCATTGTTAGCACGTAAAGCTACTGTTCCATCTTCCGATTGCCAAATCAAATCAAACAAAGCATTAGAAGAACGTTTGTGTTCCGATGCTTGAATTCCTCCTCCTGCTTCAAGACTCCAGTAACGATCTTGCATGGTACGTACATACCATCTTTTAGTTACACGATCAAATTCTAATTGGAAAGTTTCATGTCCAGAAATTTCATCTTGATTAGCAGTTACATCAACGCCTGAAATCATGATGCTTATTATCCAAAAAGATTTTTTAAATTTTTATTTAATTAATTATTTATAATTTATAATTAATTATAATTAAAATTTATAATTAAATTTTAAAATAAATAATTGAATTATAAATAAATAATATTTATTAATAAATTTTTATAATTAAAATTTAACAAATATAATTTATAATTAAATGTAAATATATAAAAAAATAATTATATTTAATTTTAATTACAAGTTTTAACTAATAAGATAATAAAAATAATAAAAATCAATAGAAATAAAATATACCTTGTTTCACAGATACATAACGTTGATTTAAAGCAGCAACAAAAGAAGCTTGCGGTAATGATTCTTCTAAAGAAAACAACTCATCTCGAGTTACAGTTGTTGATCTTGATTTTAAAACAGCTTTACTTCCAATAGGTGCCAAATATGCTCCATATAGATCCCTTTAATTAAAAATATCATAATCTTCAAAATACAGGTACAAGACCAAACTAACTATATATATAAATATATATAAATATATATGTATGTTTTATATTTATTAGATATATAATAAATATATACATATACTAAAAGTAATTTACAATAATTATAATAAAATATAACATAAATTAAACAATCTTTTTTACCTACTGTTTACAGAATTATATTTTAATATTATAATGTAATGAAAAGTATACTAATATTTCTTACCTGAGTGCTAGTAATCCAGCATGAAACTCAGCAGCATAAAGACAATCTCGTGTACAAGAATCCAAAAGTTTACCATCTCGTGCTAAATATTTGTTATTACAAGTATGTAAAGCATAATGACCACCCTCAAATTTAGAATGTTCTTCACCGTTATCTTCTATCGAAGCAGGACGAAATTCTAAAGTAAACAGTGTATCTTCTCCCCAAGGAACTGGTGCATCTACATGAATTTCATCTTGTGTTGCACTTAAGTGAGCAAATCGTTTTCTTCCAGCAGATTTTAAATTTACCTAAAAGAAATTTGCATAAGAAATCAAAATTAACATTAATCAACATTTTAGAATAATGCAACATATTTATTTTATATTTATGTACAATATAATACATATAAACTCATTTGAAATTCATCCAAAATTTAATGTATGAAAACTAAATTTGTTTTTGATTGAATTTAAAGCTATGATATATACTTCACTTACTTGAGGTCTAGCAGCAAGATGTACTAGCCAATATTCTGCTTCACTTGGTGCTTTGGCTATACACTTAAGTTCATCTTGACTAGAACCCAGGAAATATCCTCTTTGAATATTCTTTAGAGCCCATCTACCACTTCCTAATTTAAAAAAGAAATTAAATTTTTACAAATTTATGATTTATAATAATATAATAATATGTCTAAAAAAATAATTTTTTTTATAAATTATTTTTATAAATTGATATTAAAATTGAATTTATCTAAAAAAATCATTGATTTAAATATTTATATTAAACTTATTAATAAAAATAAATTTATATTATATTATATAAGTCAAAATTTTGCATACCATCAGAAGCTAATTGTATTTGAAAAGCACAACCAGGATCACTAGGATCTTCTGCTTCACAAGTAACATTTCCAAACTGATCTACTGCTAAATAACGATCTAAATGAGATCGAAGAAAAACTTGCTGTTCACTACCTTCTAAAGTCCATAATTGTTTTTTCTTCAAACTTGAACCATTTGCATTAATTTTAAATCCAAAAGTTTCAGCTGTAAGATACTTAAATTTTCCATTTATTAAACCAACCTATAATAAAATTAAGTAAATATTAAGGAAAATATTTTTTAAAAATACTATATTTAATTAGCTTAAAATAAGTTTGAAATTTATTTATATGCTTTCTTTATTTGTAATAGATTTGTAAATTCCATTTATTGTATATATTTCAAATATAAAATGCTCAAATTTTTATTTTTAGTCTATAATTTTAAATTTTAATGCACGATAATTTTTAATGAAATATTTAAAAGTATAAAATAAATAAATTTAAATTAAATATATGAAATATATATTAATATTAATTTATTAAAAGTAAAATATATAACTTTTAAATAATTATTAATTACCGTCCATCCAGATTTTTCATTTGTATTTTCAGAACCGACATTCTCACCGTTAGCCTGCATTGTTTATTTCTATCGATCGTTAATTAAATGTGTAAAAACCCTTCGAATTATTTCTGCAAGTACATATAAAAAAACTATAAAAAATTTAAATTATATTTATTTATAAGAATAATTAATAAATTATAAAAAATATTATTAATTATAAATAGTATATAACTAATAATTCACGATAAAAGATATCTTATAAACTATTCATAAATATATATAAAAATTTAAATAATTTAAATAATTAGAAAAATAATTATTAGATAATAATTAATTTTCATAAGTATTTAAATATTTAATAAATTGAAAATTAATAATAGAAATAGCATTATTATAATGGAAAAATAGCATTCTATTTTTATCTCAGGGTTAAAGTTTTCTTAGACAAACATGTGAGCCTGATCTCTCCAGAAAGATATTTTATAAAATGCAGTTCTTAATTTAGAACATTCTTCAGTCTTAAAATTTTTTCGTCTCCCAAGTATATTTTATTTTCAACCCTCAACTTTATGACTCATTTGTACGTGTTTCCGCCTGGGTGGGGCCAACTTTACTAAGAAAAT